AATAACCTGACATAAGTCAAAAATATATGCCTGACTCGTGGGCTGCAACAAATAAATATCCAATACATGAACAACAATAGCTTAAAGTCCAACACGAGGACTGTAGTGGATTATAGTCTAACACGAGGACTTTAATAGCTTATAGTCCAACACGAGGACTTCAATAGATTATAGTCCAACACGAGGACACACATGGACTTCAATAGTTTATAGTCCAACACGAGGACTTCAACATGTAAATGATGTCAGAACCAACATATATAACATTTATTCTCATGCCTCGGTGAGTAAATCTAATTTCATGATAGTAGTCAACTCATGTACACTAATCTCAGTGTATAACAAACCCATATAACCTAGGTGTTTCGTCAGCCACAACTGCATGCAAACGACATGCACATGCACAAACAGATCTCACGGTCGACCGCCGATTATCTGCGGTCGACCGCACAGTGAGCAGAAGGTCTCTGCTCATCTGCGCGCCCAGCGGTCGACCGCCACGGTCGATCGCGCAGGAAAACAGAAGCTTCTTGCTTCTGCTGCGTGCCCGGCAGTCGACCACTACGGTCGACCGCTCAGGTGCAGAAAACTTTCTGCAGGTTTTCTGCTCTATGGGTTTTGATATAAAAAAAACTTTCATATGTAAATCTCGAACACTACCAATCCTCTATAAACGATTTAGTATTTCTAAAACATGTGGAAAAAGGTTCTAAACACTTTAGATAAAATGAAATCATTCATGAATACATATAAACATGTCGAAACATATGGAAACAAGGATATTTCATTTAAAACTCTTGTTAGAAATATTTTTAGATCTAGATCTGTATTAAGAAATTCATGGGTGATCTTTATTTACTAAAAACATGTTCTCTTTGTAATATACAATAATATGATCAAACTTTTATACATAAACTATCAAGTTTGGCTCACAAATCACATGAAAACATCATTAAAAACATTTAATAAAACAAGGGTGTAGGATTGGGCGAGATGAAAATCACCTGAGGGGTGTTGATGAACTCCCAAAAACGTGTGAGAATGATCCCTCGATGACAAACACCGCAAATCCTACCTTCGCCTCGCTTTTCGCCTCATGAAACTCCCCCGAGAACACAAGTTTAGGGTTAGGGTTTGAGAGAGGAGGAGAGTGGCTGCTAGGGTTTGGAACACAGGAGGAAAGGGGCGTTTTTCGTGTATAAACATGTGTATATATGACAGCAAACCCGAAAAACTACAGCCCAAAACCCGAAACTGGAAAATCCAGACTGACTAGAAACATACGCTTTAGTATTTTTGGCTGTAACGTTCGTATATGACCTCGGAAGAGACCTACAACTTTGCTCTTTTGTACTTTCTCAGATTCTAACCACATAAGTGCTTAAAATATAGAAACTCATAATTGGTCATTATTCTCAGATCTTTCTTTTTGCTTTTGTGCATGTTTTGCACATTTGCACATATATATATTCAGAAATATTAATTGAATTGATCTCAATTCAATTCTTATCATATACAAACATCAAAATATATTATTCTTTACCATATGACTTATTTATCATAAAATATTTAAATTTTTGGGGTTTTACATTCTTCCCACCTTAAAAGAATTTCGTCCTCGAAATTCCGTAACGTATCTTAAGAATTAATAATATGAGAAATGCACTAAGAGGGGATAACCCAGATAAGGAAACTCTCCCATACACATCTTATACTATTAATCCCTAGATATGAATCACTAGCAATATCTACGCTAAACAATCTAAAATGCGGATACTCCCACTTAACCCCTAACTAAACGGAACTAGTACGTTGGGCGAAAAATCCAAACAAGGAACCCGCCATATATATACCAATGTTCCGAACGATTAGGAGCTAAGTGATAATACCTCCATTCTAGTGTTAAATATAAATATGACTATCCAAAACATCATAGACCATGAGAAAATTATAATCAAATCAATTTACATGTTCAAATAGGTGTGGGTAGTTGCATATCCTCTTCATACTCCCAAGAAGCCTCCTTAGCTCCTTTCCGATTCACTTAAACTTTGACTAATGCAATCACTTTATTTCTAAGTCTCTTGTTTTCTCATAACAAGAATACGAACATGTATCTCAACCAAGTCAAATCATCATGGAGCTAAATCTCAGGCGCGTCTAATACTCGTTATTGTTCCTCAACAAGTAAATGCTTCTCAAACATTGAAACATGAAAAAAAAACATCGTGTATACTCGATATCGATGTTGGAAGATCTATTTTATGTAAAACTGCTCCAACACGCTATAAAATCCTGAATTGTCCAACATATCTCGGGTAAGTTTTCCCTGTCTACTAAATCGCTGAATTCCTTAACATGAAAATCTATAACACATGCCCGCAACATGTCCTTCAATATTTGGTTTACTCTCTCCGCCTGCCCATCTGCCTGCGGGTGAAATACACTGCTATAAGATAATTTGCTACCGAAATTTTTTTTGGAAACTCCTCCAGAGATGTGAAGTAAAAACTGAGCCTCGATCTGATACAATCGTTTCTGGAACTCCTCGTAATCTTATGGTCTCTTGGAATGAATGTTTTCGCATAAGTCTCCTCTATTTAAGTCGTCCCCACTGGTATAAAATATGCTGACTTCGTCAACCGATCAACTATCACCCAAACTGAATCGTTTTCCCTTCTTCTATCTTGGCAATCCTTTAATGAAGTTCATAGAAATAACTGCCCGCTTCTACTCTGGAATGGGTAAATGTAGTAGGGTCCATGTTGGCCTCTAATGTTCTGTCTTCACTTGCTAGCAGGTCGAGTTCTTAGTTACATACTATGTAATCTCCCTAAGCATGTCGTTCTACCAAAAATGTCCCTTCAAGTCCTTGTACATTTTTGTTGTGTCTAGATGCATTGTATATCTAGTGCAATGGGCCTCATTAAATAATTCCCTTTTTGTTATGCATTAGCTGACATCACTAATTAGACTATCATCTGAAGTCCTACATTGGCCCCAAAGGTCCAAATCGGCCTTAGGTTCTTCAAAAATCTATTCCTTCCGAGATTGAATTCAAGTGTCCTCCGACTGAGCTCTAGCCACTCTATTACTCCAAGACGGCTACAATGGAATAACTCCCAAAAAAAATACTATGTGCTGGTCCCGTCAATCTTTGGCCTAAATTCAAACTGGTTAAGAGTATGAAGATCTTAACAAAACAGGCGCTTCAAAGTCGCACTCCGATATCAATGCTTCCTGCTCGAAACATCCGCTAAGACGTTCGCCCTTCTCGGATGGTACTGAATTGCGAACTCATGATCCTTGATAAACTCAATCCATCGTCACTGTCTCTGGTTGAGTTCCTTCTGAGAGAAAATGTACTTCAGACTCTGGTGGTCTGTGAATAACTTGAACTATACTCCATACGAGTAGTGTATCCATGCTTTTAGCGCGAATACCACCACTACTAACTCTAAATCATGTGTGGGGTAGTGCTGCTCATGCACTCTCAACTGATGATATGGCCAAGGAATCTGACTTCAGAAATCCAAAATTTGTATTTGCTGAACTTAGCATATAAATGATGCTCCCGCAAAGCCTGCAAGGTTAAACGTAGATGCTGCTCGTGCTCTCCTCCGATCTCGAATAGATAAGAATATCATCGATAAATACAATCATGAATTAGTCCAAGTATGGACGAAAAATAACACGGTTCATCAAATCCATGAATACAGCGGCGCATTGGTCAGCCCAAATAGCATGAGCAGAAACTCGAAAGACCTATATCGAGTCAGAAAGGCGGTTTTGGGAATATCCATCTCCTAAAATCACGTAACAACCAAAATGAAGATAAATCTTTGAGAAATGCTGCGCTCCCCGTAGTTGATCAGACAAGTCATAAATCCTATCTAATCTGGATAATGAACTTGTTCAACTTACGAAAATCTATACGAAATCATAAGATACCGTCCTTCTTCACGAAAAGGATCGGTGCTCCCCACGGAGAAAGACTCCGGCAAATAAAACTCTAAAATAATAATTCATTTGTCTAAATCTGTAGCTCCCTCATCTCAATAGGTGTCGTACGATATAGTTCTCGGGATATTGGTACTGTGCTCTATTGCAACTCGATGCAGGACTCAACCTCTCTCACCGGAGGTAACCTAGGTATGTCCTGAAAGATATCCCGATAAACTGAGACAACTCTAGTCTCGCACAAATCAGTACTCTGATCCCTCAGAATCACCTCCTCGACGTATGCCAGGAACGACTCCATATTCTGGTTACCCTATGAGGTTGCTACTATCCATACAAACCAAACGAATGCTCACAAGCTGACTATTTTAGTAAAACGGTCGATATTAACATGGTATGATGATAGCCAATCTATACCAAAAACGACGTCAAAATCCAACATCCGCAATATGATCAGATCTATGAGAAACTCAGACTCATCTAGAATGATGACACATCTCCTGCAGATACTTCTCTTATAAGGATACCTCTCCTAGAGGAGTAGAGACTGATAACGGAACACCTAAAGAATATGCTACAAGCTGAAGCCTATCCACGAAGGCATGAAAGTTAAAAGAAAGCGAAATTCCTGAATAAAACAATGTCTGAGTTTTGAAAGAAAAATCATGAAGAAAGCTCTGCTCGCACCATGATCACGTGGTACAGCTATATAGACTCTGCCAGTGATGAAAAATATATGGAACCATCTGTCCCTCAGTAATCTCTTGGATAACGTAAATATGGTCTACTGGCCCTCAATCCTTGGAATAACAAGTAATACTTCTATTCTCTGTTGCTGGCTGTAATAGTGGCTCTAAGACTGTTGACCCTGACCTCTGTCATGCTGGTCCTCTGCCGGTGTATTATGACAATCCTCCGATCTATGCCCGATCTTGTTACAAACATGATATGTATCCAAATTCCTGCGCTGCTGCAGCGCTCTTGAATCATTTTGTGTTGTCTTCTTATACTGTCCTTATGCTGGTGGTAAAAATACTTACCTTGTTGTTGGGGTCTTCTAGATCCCGCAATAGCCCCTTTGCCTTTGCTATTGTCACCATACTGGTTTTGATTTCTTCACTAACTTCAGGCATATCTCTCTGCTTCAATTGAACTACCTTTAACTGCTTGTTGAAGGAGTAGACAAAATTCTCCCAAATAAGTGATATTCCCTGCTCCTGCGAAAATATGAAGTCTTTACTATCCTTTGTTGCCATTCCCTGATGATGTCCTCTATGATGAAAACATTTAACCTCTGGTTTGGTACTGAATCGACGTTAAGAAATCTTCACATATTCTTTTTATTTATAGGCTGCACATGAATCTAGTGTGCCCTGAAACTATAATACTCTTCGTGTCTGACGCCTTTCTTATCTTACAGAACCAAGCCTCCTGCTCTACAGCTCTATCAATAGCTGATTGTGGTGGTGGTGTACTTATTAGTATTACCTCTTCGATAGGCACAACTGGTACAACGGGTGGTGGATCTCTAGAAAGTGATACTGCTGGTGGAAATGGATAGCCTCTCGCTTCCCGAGTGTTCCAAAATCTTGTTGCAAACGGCGTCATGAAGTCAATCAAATACTGTGGAGCTTGCTGCGGCTCGGCTCTGCTTGCCCAACTCTCCAGGTACGAGTTTTACCTCGACCATATCCTCGTCCCGATATTTGTAATATCAAGAGGAGAGCTTAAATGACACAGTAAAGGAGATCATAAATATATATACACAGATATGACGTAACGTATCACGATAAGTATTCAGGAAATTACTTTTCAATCAAGGTAAGGTAGTCATAAATTTTTTTTTATAATTTTCGAACATACATATATAACGTCCTCACTCACTCTAGAAATTCTTAGCAGACTCTATACATGAATTCTAAGAAACTCTATTCTAGCTCCACGACTCGACACAGGATGATCCTAAGGATACCAGAACCTGGCTCTGATACCAACTGTGACGCCCCTGGTTTGAACAAGGCTGCAGTCCAAGGTGAAACCAAGAATGTCAAACCTGTCATGCACTACACCATTCATTAACACGTTTCACCATTACAATTATTATCTATCTAGTGGAATCAACAACAGGTGTAGGTACAAAACAGGCAAGAGAGAATATACAAAAGAAATACTAAACAATAGATATTCTAAAGAAAAATCATCACCACTGATATGAATGGATAAATCTCTAAGAAGAAAACATCTGAACTGATACAACTGTCTCACAATAGGAATTCAAATAAAATGACATTAAGGCACATCGCCTTTACAAAACTAAAATGATAACTCAAATGTTCATAAACACACCCACTGTGGAGTTCTGACATAACTACTAATAATATAGATAAATAACTACTAGAGCAACTCCATCAACCTACGGCTCTCCGTGCACATGGCTCGTTACCTAAAAGGGGGAAAACAACGAGCGTCAAAGCACTATAGCGAGTAACATCTCAACCAACCCCAGGGAGAAGGGTTAGAAGGATAAGAAAATATCTACTAATACATATAGATAAATAATCATCTACTCTAAAATAAATGGAGATTTGATATTTAGAAATTTACAACACGAGCATGGTACGTCGAGCGAAATAATCCAAACAAGGAAACGCTCATGTATATACCATATGTCTCAAATTTGTAAATCCCTAAATACCAAATCCAAAGGCTACATTGTGGAGCAATAATGAAAGACAGCTCCTCTAAATACCAAATCCAAAAGCTACAGTGTGGAACAATAATGAAAGACAGCTCCATCTCCAATCATACTATCAATAACCTGGCATAGGTCAAAAATATATGCCCGACTCGTGGGCTACAACAGATAAAAGTCCAATACATGAACAACAATAGCTTAAAGTCCAACACGAGGACTGTAGTGGATTATAGTCCAACACGAGGACTTTAATAGCTTATAGTCCAACACGAGGACTTTAATAGATTATAGTCCAACATAAGAACTTCAATAGCTTATAGTCCAACACGAGGACTTCAATAGTTTATAGTCCAACACAAGGACTTTAATAGTTTATAGTCCAACACGAGGACTTCAACATGTAATGATGTCAGAACCAACATATATAACATTTAATCTCATGTCTCGGTGAGTAAATCTAATTTCATGACAGTAGTCAACTCATGTACACTAATCTCAGTGTATAACAAAACCATATAACCTAGGTGTTTCGCCAGCCACAACTGCACGCAAACGACGTGCACATGCCGGTCGACCGCGCAGTGAGTAGAAGGTCTCTGCCTATCTGCTTGCCCGGCGCCCGCCCGCCACGGTCGACCACCACGGTCGACCGTGCTGGAAAACAAAAGCTTCTTGCTTCTGCTGCGCGCCCGGCGGTCGACCGCCACGGTCGACCGCTCAGGTGCAGAAAACTTTCTGCAGGTTTTCTGCTCTATGGGTTTTGATATAAAAAAACTTTCATATGTAAATCTCGACCACTACCAATCCTCTATAAACGATTTAGCATTTCTAAAACATGTGGAAAAAGGTTCTAAACACTTTAGATAAAACGAAATCACTCATGAATACATATAAACATGTTGAAACATATGGAAACAAGGATATTTCATTTAAAACTCTTGTTAGAAATATTTTTAGATCTAGATCTGCATTAAGAAATTCATGGGTGATCTTTATTTACTGAAAACTTGTTCTCTTTGCAATATACAATAATATGATCAAACTTTTATACATAAACTAGCAAGTTAGGCTCACAAATCACATGAAAACATCATTAAAATCGTTTAAAAAAACAAGGGTGTAGGATTGGGTGAGATGAAACTCGCCTGAGGGGTGTTGATGAACTCCCAAAAACGTGTGAGAATGATCCCTCGATGCCAAACGCAGCAAATCCTGCCTTCTCCTCGCTTTTCACCACATGAAACTCCCCCGAGAACACAAGTTTAGGGCTAGGGTTTGAGAGAGAAGGAGAGGGGATGCTAGGGTTTGGTGCACATAAGAAAAGAGGTGTTTTTCGTGTATAAACATGTGTATATATGACAGCAAACCCGAAAAACTACAGCCCAAAACCCGAAACCCGAAACACGAAACTGGAAAACTCAGTCTGACTAGAAACATACTCTTCGGTATTTTAGCTGTAACTTTCGTATCTGACCTTGGAATGAGGTGATTAAATATTTGTTAGAAATCTACTGAAGAGACCTACAACTTTGGTCTTTTACACTTTTTCAGATTCTAACTGTATCAGTGCGTAAAATATAGAAACTCATAATTGGTCATTATTCTCAGATCTCTCTTTTGGCCTTTGTGCATGTTTTGCACATTTGCACATATATATATTTACAAATATATATTGAATTGATCTCAAATCAATTCTTATCATATACAAACATCAAAATATATTATTATTCACCATATGATATATTTATCATAAATATTCAAAATTTTGGGGTTTTACACTACGGCACTGAGGGCATTGACTAAATCCACTAGAGTTATTTTGGATAGGTCTTTAGAATCTTCAAGTGAGAAAATTTTAGACTCATACCTTTCGGGAACAGTCACTAAAATCTTATCAACCACTCTTTCATTTGAAAATGTTTCACCAAGCAATCTAATTTGATTGACAACAGCCATAAGCTTACCGACATACTCTTTGATGGTCTCACATTTCTTCATCTTTTGCATCTCAAATTCCCTTTTAAGATTTAGAACATGCATCAATTTTTTTTATCGTTGCCCTTGAACTCTTCCTTTAGCATCTCCCACGCCTCCTTAGGTGATTCACAAGTCATTATACTTGTGAAGATTCTGTTCGACACGGCCGAATGAATACAAGAGAGGGCTTTTGGCTTATTTGCTTTTTCTTCATCATGCTTCTTCATTTGGTTTAGGGTTGGATTTTGTGAAAGAGGGATCGGCTCATAATCACTCTCAACAACCTCCCATAAACTCAAAGCTTTCAAATGAGATTTCATCTTGATAGATCACTCTCAACAACCTCCCATAAACTCAAAGCTTTCAAATGAGATTTCATCTTGATAGCCCAAGATTGATAATTGTCTCAAACTCAAAGCTTTCAAATGAGATTTCATCTTGATAGCCCAAGATTGATAATTGTCTCCATTGAGGATGGAGTATGGAAGCGAAAAATTGTTGGATGCCACTAAAAAAAAGGTTGATCACTCTATATTTTTTTAAAATTCTCACAAACCCAAGAAACCTGGTGCTCTGATACCATGTTGGAAAAAAAAGGAGAAAACAAGAATATGAGCCTTATTAAAGAAAATGTTTTATTTTCTTATATTTGCTAACAGAGAGAATGGCCAAATATATAGGCCTTACACCAACTTAAAGCTCCTAGAAATCAGCAACAAACAATTAAAAAACACATGACAATTGACTAAGTAAACAACTAAACCACTACTAACATACTATCCTGAAAAATAGGAAACAACCTAATAACTAATTTTAAATCAGTTATTCAACAAGAAGTTGAAGTGGTGTATTAAGAAAATGTTGCAGGCCCATATAGAACACGGCATAAATTATTAGCAAAACAATTATATAAAACTTATCTTATAGCAGGAATCTGGAAGTGTGGTTGAAATATAAAATCCTATCTGGTAAAAATGTCAGTGATTAAATAGTGCTAAACCCTCTTATTCTTCAGAGACAATCTTAAGATGAGGCCAAATTTGGAAAACATAGTATTCTTTTTACCTTGAGCTGACAAACACTTAATAGGTCTCTTTTTTCTCGTTATTGATGGCAATAAGCGCTGCGTGATACACACCGTTCTCGTCTTATTCCTTCTATTAATGAGCATTGTGTTATACATTAATTTAATCAAAAAAGAAATTTCCTTTCCTGTCTTGTGTCAAGAAAACAGTAACTCTACCTCGTAATTGGCATCTCTCAACCATTATATCAACTCTCCGCAATCAATCCTTCAAGCCATCCACATCCTCAGGACCTGAGATACTCCCATGGCCCTTTACTTAGCTCTCCTCTTCTTCTTGCTATCAAATCTTACTCATTTTTTAAGCCACGGCAAGCTTCTCCCAGTGGTCAATGATCAAGGAGGCAATCCTGGCCAGACGCAAACCTACATCGTTCATGTAGTAAACACCAAGGAAGCTGAGCTTCTCAGCGATATAGATCTTGAAAGGTGGTACGAATCCTTTCTACCTAACAACACTCTAGACTCAGGAGCACCTCGTTTGGTGTACTCGTATCGACACGCAATCAGCGGTTTTGCTGCGAGGCTAACTCCTACAGAAGTGAAGGCTATGGAAGGTAAGGAAGGCTTCTTATATGCCCACCCTGACAAGCTGTATCACCTTGAAACCACTTATACCCCTGAGTTCTTGGGGTTGAGCAAGCCATTCGGAGGAGCATGGGATGGCACCATGTATGGCGAAGGCATCATAATCGGAATTCTTGACACTGGAATTTTTCCAAACCATCCTTCTTTCAGTGACAATCTAATGCCTCCTCCACCTACCAAATGGAAGGGTAAGTGTTATTACCTCCGTTGCAATAATAAGATCATCGGTGCAAGAGCATTCCACAATGGAACCAGTCCTTCCCCAATAGACAGAGAAGGGCATGGGACCCACGTTGCAGGCACGGCTGCAGGCAATTTCGTGGACGACGCCAACGTTCTTGGAACGGCCAAGGGTAAGGCTTCTGGAATGGCACCTAAAGCTCACCTAGCTATCTACAAAGTGTGCTTCGAGGCTGGCTGTCCGGGGACTGATACGCTTAAAGCCATAGATCAGGCTATCATGGATGGAGTCGATATAATCTCCATGTCAATTAGTGGTGACCCTAATGCGACATTCTATTTTGATTCAATCGCACAAGGTTCACTAGCAGCATTCAAGAAGGGAATCTCCAATTTTGCATCCGCAGGCAATAATGGCCCTGGAGAAGATACATTGGCCCATAGTGCCCCGTGGGTTTTTACAGTAGGAGCGAGCTCAACTGACAGAAGAATAAGCGCAGCTGTAAAGCTCGGAAATGGAATGGAACTACAAGGAGAAACTGCCTTTCAACCCCTATCTTTCAATTCCTCCGAATATTTACCCATTGTATTTCCTTACAAATATAGTGGGGATTTTGATGCTTTGTTTTGCCTAAATGGCACATTAGATCACATCGATGTAAGGGGTAAATTGGTGATATGCTGGAGTGGGGGGATAGCTAACATTAAGAAGGGAGAGATAGTATATGCAGCAGGAGCAG